CAGCGGGCGAGGGGCGGGGCCGAGGAGGGGCGGCGCTAACGAGGGGCGGGGCCATAGAGGGGCGTGGTTATCGAGGGGCGGGGCTGCGCCGCGGCCGGGCGTCTGCGCGCCTCTCCCCGTGTGCGTGCCGCGGCGGCCTCCTGCTACCGCGGCTTGGCAGGTGGGTTTGGGCCCCGGGGGCTGGCGCCACGCCGTGGGAGCGCGCTGTAGCTGAGCAGGTGACCCAGGGGTGCCGTGGCGGCCAGCGTCCCCAGGTCTCCCTCCCTCCCGCGGGGTGCACCGCGAACCGCAGCGGGAGGGGTTTTGTTTTAACTGGGCGATCGGTTGGACTTTGCGGCCCCCTGTCCCTGGAGGACGCTGAGCAGATCTGGCCTGCAGCCGAGTTTCCTGCACAGGCTTCTAGAAATCGAAAACGCAGTGGGTGGGGAGCTGAACGGTCGTCCGAGTCGAGTCTAAGCAGTGTCAGGTGCTTCCCACGAGACTGGGCGATTTGCCGCCATCTACCCACCTACCAAACGAGAGGGGCTTTTTGAGGGCTCTCCTTCGGTTCCAAACTGACTTAAATTTGACAAACTTCCTCTTAGGCTTCTTCCCAGTTACCAGCCATGATCTTCCAGCAGCAACTGTTGCCCCCTGAACTCTGATCCCTGGGGTTTCAGCTGGACCGCTTGGTTGTCTGGAACCAGCTCTCTCTGGGGAGAGGAGCTGCGCCCAGTCAGGACATCAGGCTAAGGAGTGCGTGCGCTGTGTCAGTAATCCTTTCGTTGGTTCTCCAGTAAAAGATGAAGCCGAGCTCAGAGGTCCTTAGAGACAAGTCGGACTAGGCTATTCTTTCTTGCCTTTTGCCCTGTATGTTGTGTAGGTTGAACAGTATCAGGATTTTTCGCTTTTCTTTTTTTATTTAAATGTGTATAAGTCATGGGAGCATTGGCCAGAGTCCAGAAATTTGGGTTCTAGTCCAGAAATTTGGGTTCTAGCCCTGGCTGTGCTGCCGATTCACTGTGATAATTGGGTAAATATCAGCCCTCCGGCTCTGATAAACTGGGGTTCATCAGATGGTCTGAAGGACCCTTCTGTCTTTCGGCACTACAAACAGTAAAAAGAGCCATCATTAGAGATCCCTGGCAGATCTGGCCTCTACCTAAAGCACCAGACTTCATGCTCTGCCTCAGGATATTTGCATTTGCTGTTCCCAGCACCAAGAACACTTACCTGTTTCCCAGCTAGTCATTCTTCAGATGGTCATTGAAACTTCACGTTGAAGAAGTTTCCCATAAACTAGATTGGCTTCTCTGGATTTATATCTCTCGGTACATGCCATTTTCTTCATGCTTAAGTGACTAATAAGTCATTTTTCTATTTATCTGTATCCTCTATTCTTTAGTGCCTATAAATGTCTCAAGGGCTGGAAATCTGACCAAATCTTCAGAATCAGTCACGGCTTAATAGGTGCTCAGATATTTGTTGTGAAATGAACAGACGATCTTATTTAGTCCAATAATCTTGTGAGTTTGGGGTCCTAGAGCTTCTCACATGAGGAGACAGATTTAGAGTGAGATGCAGTGAGTTGGCAGTGTTAGGATAAGAACCTTGGACTCTGACTCCAACACCTGAATTTCTACCTCACCTGTTGTCCCTTATTCCAGGATCCCATATTATGAAGCGGTTTCTTGGTTGCTACCAGATGGAATCACGAGGCCTGGAAAGAGAAGACCTGTAGGTCCTACGATCTGAGGTGACCAGGTGTGGCCGTGGCTCCCCCTGCAGACCCATGGCGAACCGGCTGCGGATACAGCTGCTGACGTGGGACGTGAAGGACACACTGCTCAGGCTCCGTCGCCCGGTTGGCGAGGAATACGCCGCCCAGGCCCAGGCCCACGGCCTGAAGGTGGAGGCCGAGGCCCTGGGACAAGCCTTCCGGCAGGCATACAAAACTCACAGCCACAGCTTCCCCAACTATGGCCTGAGCCAGGGCCTCACCTCCCGCCGCTGGTGGCTGGATGTGGTCATGCAGACCTTCTACCTGGCAGGTGCTGAGGATGTCCAGGCGGTGACCCCCATTGCTGAGCAGCTGTACCAGGACTTCAGCAGCCCCTGCACCTGGCAGGTGTTGGAGGGGGCCGAGGCTACCCTGAGAGGGTGCCGCAAGCTGGGTCTGAAGCTGGCAGTGGTCTCCAACTTTGACCGGCGACTGGAGGACATCCTGGCAGGTCTTGGCCTGCGGGAACACTTTGACTTTGTGCTGACCTCTGAGGCTGCTGGCTGTCCCAAACCTGACCCCCGCATTTTCCACGAGGCTTTGCAGCTTGCACAAGTGGAGCCGGAGGTGGCAGCCCATATTGGGGATAACTACCGCTGTGATTACCAGGGGGCACGGGCCGTAGGCATGCACAGCTTCCTGGTGACTGGTCCAGGGCCTTTGGACTCTCTAATCAAGGATGCTGTACCCCAAGAACATATCCTCCCCTCATTGCCCCATCTCTTGCCTGCCCTTGACCGCCTGGAGGGCTTACCCCCCAGGAGTTGAGTCTGGAGAAATAACTGGACCCTGCAAATGCTGGCGACAAGGAGCCCCTTCCCTCCTGAGACTCGGCCTCTGCTCCTCTCCCTGCTGCCTCCGAAACACTGACTATAACGCAGTGTGTGTGGGGCTTTCAGCCCTGCCCCCTCTAACCAGCTCCTGGTCTCTGAGGTGGCTCATTCATCGTACCTGTGTCCCTTTTCTACCTTGAGTTCCCCTCACCTCCAGGAGTCATGGAAGGCCCAACTAGCATCAAACCTAGGTTCTTAAAAACCTTGCTTCTGCAGCAAGGCCTAAATCATGGGAGACCCCATGTGCCAAACAGGGGAAAAAACGAACTGCTGGGGTTCAAACAGAGGTCTAGGGTACCTCACTGTGGCCTTAGAGGCTTAGTTTGAAAGTCAGGGTCCTAAGTGGTACTGCAAGGATTCTGTGCTTAAAGTTTTAGATAAGGGACACCCTAGCTCTAGTCATGAGAAGAAATCTGATGTAAACCTGCTGTATATGATGCGCTAACTCCCAGAGCCACTTAGCAGGTGAGGTGGTGTGACCCACACTTAGCAATGAGGAGTGGGGTTCAGCGTTCAAGTAGTCTGAGGTCCTAGCTAGGAAATGAGGGAGCTGGGGTTTGCTTTGGGCATATCTGGCTCCAGAACCCACTGACTTCACTGTTAGGCTGCAGGTGGCAAGGGGTCCCTGTCACGTGAGAGCACAGTGCCAATCCCCGGAGTATGCCACCCCCGAGGGGCCCGGCAGCCATTGGGATTGGGATTAGCGTCGGGGTAGGAAGGCACCAGGGGTCAGAAGCCAGGGCTGGAGGGGCAGGAGTGGAGGGAGGTGAGAACTGCTGGAGATTAAAGTAGGCTGACTTAAATTCCAGTCTCTTCTTGCCTTTCCCTTCCTCACACACCATGGCAGCAGAGCTGTCTATCACAGGTAAAGAACACAGAGGCACGTACACCGAGTATGTTCCAAGTGCCAGCAGCCAGGGTGTGCTCTGGAGTGGACCATGCATGGAGGGTGGTGGACAGCTGGGCAGGCCTTGCAGCAGGCCCAGGAACTACACTAAAGGCCGCTGTGGACTAAAGGCCCCCTAGGAAGGGGGGTTTGGGAGGCATGACATAGGGGCCTTTGGGTGCCCAGCAGAAGAGCTTGGCTTTGACCCAGGCTTCAGGGCAGAGGCAAAGGCTCAGACTTGGCCAAACCTTTTCTGGCTCTGTCTGCCTGGGGCCCGATGCCAAGGCCAAGTGACTCGACATTAATTCCCACGTGCCAGGCCGTGAGGACACAGGTGGTGAGCTGTTGTCGCATAAATCATTTCAACCAGAAAGTTGCCCTTAGGTCTGTGGGCTGGATTTAATCTGGCCAGTGTTTTAAGCCAACTATCAAGCACACTTAAGGTAGGGAGGGGAGAGTTCTGCCTCCCCATCTTTGGGCTCAGAACGTAAAGTTGAAGATTGTTGAATCGTGTTTCCAGAGTAAACAGATTGTGAGGAGCAGGGACTTGCCCACGGGGTCCACGCTCTCACGACTGTACAAGCTGAGCTGCCACCCCTCATTTCTGGGAATGTGAATGGGAGTGAGAAGACGATAGCTGCTGAGCCAATGCAGGTTTAAGATCCACGCTGGACCCCGAAGGTGCCAGCATCCCGTGCCTGCCCAGTGACCAGCAAACATGGAGTTTTCCAGCCTTTCAAAACCTTTAATAACGTGCATGATCCCTAAGGCTGATCCCACTCCCTCAGCTCTTCTGACCAGAAGCCCTCACCCTGCTTTGCCAGCAGGGCTGCTAGCTAGAAGCCCTCATCGGTGACCTAGGGGAGAAGTAAGCCCTGTTGCCACGGTGACTGCAGGCTGGAGTCACTGCCAGGTCTGAGGCAGAACTGCCAGTGGTGGTGCTATTGTCAGGCTGCCTGGAGATGGGACCCTCTTGGGGCTAGGTAGGAGCTAGGGGATGAGCAGCCTGGCAGGAGTTCTGAATTCCTTCCATGGTTGGCCTTGTAGTCTAGAAAAATATTTCCTTTATGTGCCCATGTCAAAAAGGTGTGAGAAGCACTGAATTGAGATCAGAGAGCTTCAGATACAGGCTTGCCTGCCAGGGAATCATTTCTACACATTGGTGAGCAGGAAGCTGAAAGGCAGCGCTTCTCCAGAAGAATCTACTACATGTACCCAGTAACCTGGATACCAGTCACTATAGATCCATCCACCCCTCCCTCCATCAGCTCACTCACCAAGTACCTATTGCATACTCACTATGCGCTGGACACCATGTTGGCGACAAAGTAGTGAGTAGGACACCTTCAGAGGGGCAGGTGCACAGTGGGGTTGGAAGACTAAGGCCCAGGGAGCAGCAGGTCCCCTGCCCGGGAGATGCCTAATGTTCAGCAACTGAACCCAGATCTGAAACATCCCCACCCCTTCCGGTGCTGCCCCTTAAGCCCAGGCAACAGCCAAGAAACAGCCCCTGGATAGAAATGGAAGAGTGTGGGGCAGGTAGACCCAGCTCCCTGGGGCCAAAGGTCAGTGGCCAATGGTAATGGCCTGGTCCGCCACAGCAAAGACCGGGAAGAGGGGCACGGGGAAGGAGGCGTGGTGAGTGTGCAGCACGGTGCCCGAGACCGGCTCGTAAAACAGCAGCTCCTGAGCCTGCAGGTCCAGCAGCACGCCCAGCTGGGCCGGGCAGCACAACAGCCCGAGGGACTCGTGCTGCCCATCGTGCCAGAAACGGAATTCCTGGTCGTAGCGGGAGAAGACCCAGGAAAAGGCGTTGTGGCCCAAACGGGAGTCACTGCCGGAGCCCTTTCTGGGCAGCTGGCCTGAGGCCACGCCCACCTTATAGGCACAACTGTTCTGGACGTTCACCACCCAGGCATGCAGCCCGGCCTGGAAAGAGGTGGCCGCCAGGGCGTTGGGCCAGTGGTCAAAGCGCTCCGGGCCGTCTGTGCAGGTCTTGGACTTCTTAGCGTTGAAGGTCAGGGTCCTTCGGTCATCTGACAATTGCAGGAAGGGGCTGACCGTCCTCTCGTCAATACGCACATCCTCGGTACCTGCCAGAAAGAATTCTGAGTCTCCCTCATGTCTCACCTGGTTCTGCCGGGTAGCAGAGGGTCCCTCACCACAGTGTGACCTCAGACAAGCCACTTAGTCTCTCTGAGCCTTAAGTTTCCTCATCTATAAAATAAGGGGTCAAAGTAGAACACCACAGGAGGGATGTGAAGATCAAATGAGCTGACACTTGTAAAGTGCCTAACCTGCAAGTGTTCAGCAAGCTGTGGTCATGATAATAATAGTTATAAGCCCAAGTCCCTCCTCTGTAAATTCTGATAGAAATAAGGTGCAGAGAGAAGTGAGTTGTCCAAGGTCACACACCCAGTCACCCAGTCGGTAGCAAACTCAGCATTTTGTTCCTGGGGCTGGCATCACACTGATCCTCCTGACTCTGGTTTAGCAATTCTGTGGCCTCAAGATCAAACTTGTCCTAGGGACACAGCTCCTGGATATTAAAAAGCATCAGGTAGGCAGTTTCCAACTGCCAAAAAATCAGGCACTGATATCAGAATCTAGGGTAGACGAGCTATGGCTTGTACTAGAATTTTAAGGAAAACATGCAGAAAGAAGGGTTAAAAATGAGAAAAATCTTTAATCCCCTAACCTAATTGTTCCGTGAGTCCCGAAAAGACTACATTTGAGTGCAGAATCTCCCATGCAGCATGGGGGTGGCGGGAGGGGTTGAGGGGGGCAGGCTCGGAGAGCCCCCACACTAGGTGGGAATTCCTATAGGCAGAACACCATGTCATATTCACTTCTGTGGCCTGGGGACAGATCTCTGGGCAGCTGAGTTCACATTTAGTAAGTAAGATGGATCTAGGTAGCGCGATTCTTGGCCCAGATGCTTGCTAGCTGGCCCTCAATTATCTCTACTAAAGCAAAGTAGGCTTCCAAGAAATAATATCGAGCTGGCCCAGTATGGCAGGACATGAGGAGGATGTGATTTACAGGATAAGGATTTATCCTAAACCCAATTACAGAGCTGTTTGGTCCAGAAGCTGGAAGGACCTGGCCATGCAGCTTCCCCAGGCCTGTCCAGAGCCTTGGCTCTACGGGCAAGCCTGCACCCAGCATCACTGCTGCATAAGCACCACTCCAGATGCCAGGCCCCAGCATGGCCCAGTAAACTACAGACAGACAAATGGACAGAAGCCCAGTGTGTGCCAAATGGCCTGGCTCTGGCAGTTCCTAACCTGAGAGGGACCCAAGAACCGCTGTTGCCCAGAGTTGGGTCAGTAGTGGGCTCCAAGTACACTTCTCATTAAAGTTTAACTTCTCCGACTCCTGGGGATCCAAAATGCCCTCTGCTTCCTCGGTCCTAAGCAAGGGGGAAAAAAAACAGAGATTCAGTGCTTCTGGAAATATATGAGCCCATACAGGGTGACAGGCAGAGGACCTAAAGGGGACGTCAGCCAAAGGGTACACAGACATTCTCCCAGGAACCTCAGTTCCAGCAAGGCAGAGTGGGGTGATGTATAGGGTGGTGCCAGTATTTAAACTTAGAAGTGGTCCATTCTGCAGAGGCATGGGAAGTTTTTCTTGGTGAGTTAGTAGCAGAACAAGGGTGCCATGAACCCCTGGGCACAGGGGTTCACGCCACCATCCTGCTCAGAGGAAACCTCACCGCCCTCTAAACCTACTGAGGCAAAACCCATTGCTCTCGTGGGTCAGAAGGGACAGTGACTCCTCTGCTGAGGCATCTCTCGGGAAGGGATGGGCTACCAGCTTCCTGCCAACCATAAATCAGTCATAACCCCTTCCTGCAGTCGCTGCAGGAAGGTCAGTTCTGTTGCAGGGATGAGAGGAACATGAGAGTCCTAGGAGGGGAGAACTGCCATTTACTAAGGAGCCAGACTCTGGGCTTGCTGCTTTCTGTATAGAATCTTATTTCATCTTTGCTCTAACCCGGGGGGTAGTTGTTATCCGGTGTAACAGGAAAGGAGAGAGGTGCAGAAGAGGCACTCAGCTAAAAGGGAGGGGTGAGTTCCAGTCTTGCCACAGGGAGAAAGGGAGGGAAGGAGAAGAAAGGAAGGAGGGAAGGGAACCCAAGCTGAAGATCAGGCACCGTTTAACATATTTTTTTCCCAAAGGGGTAGAGGGCAAAGTGAAGATTCACCACAGAGCTCTGCATGTCTCTGGACGGGGTTCTGAGAGAGCTTTCCCATCACCTCTAAGCTGAACTTGGCTTTGAGATCAGCAGCAGTTCTGAGAATACAACTCTCTCCAAATCTCCTGGCTCGGTCCATAGATGAAGGAGGGGAGGGAGTGTGAGGGGTGGCCTCCTGAAGGATGTCAGCTTACTGCGACTCACTGACTCCCCTGACTTTGGAGGAATGAGGTGAACAGAGCCAAGCTGAGCGCAGCTTGGTAACAAAGACTCTTTATGGTCAGGACAAGAGAGGTCTGTTGCCTCTTCTCAAAGCACCGGGGCTGGGTATGGTGGTGCGCCAGGCCTCCGGTGGGGAGGGACGAGGAGCCGTGGCCGACCTCTCCTGACCTGCCGCTGCTCCCCTCAGCAGTGTACTTCTCAGTCGCCTGTTCTGCTCCCCACTCTGTCTCCGGTGAACCCTCTCACCGCCCCTGCACCTCTGGCGTCTGACGTCCGGCAGTGCCGAGCCGTCAGCACAGGGTGTGCTGACAGCAGTGGTGGACACTAGAGTCTATAGAACCAGCTGGTCCAGCTGCCTGGTGGCACAAAACAAAACCCACAAGCCCCGAGGAGTGGGAGTGAGATGGGGCTCAGACACTGACTGCAAGGCCCCGCTGGGCCAGAATGCCTGGGCCAGAATGCAGCCCAGCTGTGAGCAGGATCCAAAATTGGAGCCAGTAAAGATATTTTGAGTTTCCAGTTAGTCAGGACTCAATGACTTCGGAACACAGTACTTGGAGAGCATATTTAGGCCTTGGCCTAAAGGCACAAAGAACTACAAACAAATCTGAAGTGGTAGGATTGGCCATAGTGTATGGATTTAGCAGTTCTCAAACAACTTTGTTTGCATTGTAGCACCGAACAAGTGAAACGGTGTATGGCTGTTTGGAGGCTGCTCACAGGGAAAGTTGGATTTATCTTGTTCCAGAAAGCAAGAAAGGACCCAGAGAATGATCACAGAAGGATAAGGATCTAGCATGAAGGGGTTCCGCCTGACCAAATCTGGGACAGCTTGAAAATCGAAATGAGTAGTTATCAATAGTGGATTGTAGTGCACTGAATAAAATTCATTGATTAATCATTGATAAGAATGACGTTAAATTGTGGCCCTCCCTGGTGGTGCAATAGGTTAAAGTGCAGCACTATGAAACTAGCTGCAGCCACAACAGAAAGAGCTGGTGAAGCCTCTCGCCGCCCCTGCACCTCTGCCTGTACCCCAGTTCTGTATGCAGAAATAAATATATCTTTAAAAAAAAACAGGTAATTACAAGCGACGAAAATCTCAACCCATTTTAAAAAAAATGAGGTTACATTGACACTAAATAAGTGAATTAACAATAAGGAAATGAATAAATGTGGGCAGGATTATCCACTCACTACCCCTACCTTAATTACTCACTTTTTTTTGTTCACTCACTAACCATCGGTGAATGCTAAAACTATTGAGTTAAATGTTGATGATAAATAGGCTATTTAAACAAAGTATTTCCCAGGTTGCTTATCGATTACAAAAGGAAAGATGTAACCGTATTTAAAAAAATATATTTATTTATGCATACAAGAACTGGGGTACATGGCAGAGTTTCAAGAAGGTGAGAGGATTCACCAGGGACAGAGTGGGGAGCAGAACAGGCAGACCCACTGAAGTATATACTGCTGAGGGGAGAAACGGGGAGAAAGGAGAGGTCTGCTGTGCCATGTGGATCAACTGCCTGGCTGGGGATCGAACACAGAGCTTCACAGTGCTGCACTTTAACCCACTGTGCCACCAGGGAGATCCCAAGATATAACCTCATAATGAAGATATAACCTCACTTTCGCTGAGTGATTAAAATTAACACTTCCAATCATGGGTCAAAGGGACATCTGGTGACCCCCAACCACAATGACTGAGAACACTTACAAAAATTCCTGCAAAAAAAAATGTGCCTGAGGACCAACCTGGTGGTGCATGGGTTAAAGTCTCAGCACTATCCACCTATCACCAGCCACTGTTCAAGTTAGATCCCAGGCCAGAAAGCTGACTCACATGCTGCAGCAGACCTCTCCTGTCCTGCCCACTGTTCCCCTCAGCAGTGGATTTCAGTAGATCTGCCTGTTCTGCTCCCCACTCTGTCTCTAGTGATTCTTCTCACCTCTCCCCACCACCCCCTGGCACCTTTGGCCTATACCCAGAGCTTGTATGCATAAATAAATCTTTTTTTTTTTTTTTTAAAGAAAAGAGATGGTAAAATAAGGGGCCTCCCTGGTGGCACAAGGGGTTAAGTCTCAGCACGATAAAGCTGTCTGCAGCCACTAGAGCATGAGTTGGATCCCCAGCCAGGGAGCTGCCCCACAGGGCACAGCAGACCTCTCCTGTCTATCCCACTGCTCCCCTCAGCAGTGTATTTCAGTCAATCCACCTGTTCTGCTCCCCACTTTCTCCAGTGAATCCTCTCACCCCAGCACCTCTGGCCTACACCTAGGTTCTCGTATGCATAAATAAATAAATAGTTTGAAAAAAGAAAAGCGATGGTAAAATAAATGTGGGTACTTCCATTCTGTGAAATACCTCACAGACTTCTAAAAAGCAATTTAAGTCAAATGTACTGGCTTTGGCTTAGAAAGATTCCAAGATAGCCTGCTAAGGTACAGAACAGCAAATGATCCCATCTGGGTTAAAAAAAAATATTTTTTAAAGCAAAAAATAAAATCCACCCCACATGTTCTCCTCCTGGCTATAGCCAGGGACAACTGTAAGACCTACATCTACAGCTAAAACTGAGCCAGGGGGTTGTACATGTATTATTATCGAAACAAATATAAAAATATAAAAATTCACATGAATGGACGATGTTCCTCAGTCTCACACAGTTATTAAGAATTTAATTTCTTTGTCTGGCCAGTTGCACTGTCTTGACCATTTCCTCAGGCTGCTGGCGCTCATTTCTTCAGGACCACCCAGGTAGGGCTGGTGAAACTCTTTTATTATTGTTGCGTTACTAAGATGCCAATTTTAATTGGAAACGCAGCTTAACTTTGGAGGACTCATCAAAGAAAGGGGGTTGAGACAGAAAAGACAGCACTGCAACAGGGGTCAGGTGTGGTTCCCGGTCTCAGCTCTGGGGCTTACACAAGTTCCCCTCCCTCTTGGAGTTCCAGCATCTTCATCTGTAGGTGAAGACCCCTCCCGTAGGGTGAATGCACAGTTTTTACTAGGATAACACTTAAGAAGCTGGCGGTAGGCTCCTGATGAGTAAGCACGTCTTTCACCAGCTTTCCCTTGGAGTCCACAGCCCCAGGCTAGGGGCGGAAGACCCCTCTCCAGCGAGTGTGGCTCCAGGGGAGTCACTCAGCTGCACCCCTGGGAGCTGCACCCCAGCAGCAGAGGGCCCGAATGCACGGGATTTGGGAAGAGGCCTCCAACCCTGGCTTCCATGACTACCCCAGCAAATTACAGGGACTCTACTCACCTCTCAAAAATCTCCTGCTCCTTCTGCTGTGAGAAGAGAAAACAGAGTCAGAGAAGAGAAAAGAGACCCTCCCAGGGAGTCAAGGCACGATACAGTCAACTAGTGCAGAGGGCTCCATGTGCACGGAGGCTCTAGAATAAAAGCCCTGCGCCTTCTTTAAGACGAGCACAAAGCACTGGCTCCTCTTCTCAGCTCGCTCCCACTACACACTGAGAAGGATCAGTTGCCCGGCCCCCGGTGTCCGGAGTTTCTCTCAACTAGACTCCAGGACAATCACATCCTTACCTAGCACTCTTCCTCCGTCAACACCGCCAGCCCCTGGATGGACGGGGCTCGCTCTGCTCCCCCATTATGACGACACCAGCCTTCAGGACAGAAGGTGCTCGTGCGAGGAGCGCAGGCACGATCCAGGACAGTCCAAGAAACTGCCTACTTAAGCTCCAAGGGGACAGCTCAGTTGCTCCACATTCTCACTTGTTCCCTGGTATATGTACTCAGATGTCACACGGTCCCCTGAAAACTGCAGATCTATATAAAATGCTCTCAAAGGATATTACCAAAATAGTAACCCTGGTATCTTCCGGCCGACAGGAGGAAAGATGAGCTCTCTATTTTTACACTGGCCCCTTTGTCTGCCCTGGAGTAGTCACTGTTCTCTGACCTCATGCCACCACCCCCACTTCTTCTAACACAGCTACTACTGTCACTCTTTCAGACATCAGGTTCTAAGATGCTGTATCCTGGAAGCCTTCCCTGACCACCACTCCCTTCAATCCCATTGGATTGTAGGGCCCCTAGCTCCCAGAGATATCCTCTACCATCGCACATATCTTAACTATCAATTTATGTCATCATCTCTTCCATAAAACTTCGAGTCACTGAGTGTCGTATCCTATAACTCATCTCAAAGTGCAACGCTTAGCTAGCACATAGACGGCACTGAGGACAGTTACTAGGTACAAAAATAAATAAATAAATAAAAATCTGCACAGTATTGGTTAAAGTGCAGCACTGTGAAGTGAAGCTAGGCAAAGCCTCTTCAGAGTGAATTAGATCCCCCCCAGGGAGGTGACCCACATGGCACAGCAGACTCTTCTGTCTTGCCCGCTGCTCCCCTCAGCAGTGTACTTCAATCTGCCTGTTCTGCTCCCCACTCTGTCTCTGGTGAGTCCTCTCACTGCCCCTGCACCTCTGGCCTGTGCCCCAGTTCTGTATGCATACATATATGGAACTTTAAAAAAAAAAAATTCCCCTGCCTCATCCCTATACCAAATTATCATTTTCCACCACCTCCTACCAAGAAACATTCTCAATGTTTCTACAATTTTGGGGAGATGGGCCAACTGGTGTGTGTCCACACCCATGCCTGACTTACAATCAGCTGCAGGTCATCCAAGTGAGTAAGCATGTCCACCAGGCTGGTGCGGATGGTGTCAAGCTTCTGCAGTGCCTGGGACCAGTGTGCCCGCTGCGTCAGGATGCTCTGGTGAGCCCGCTCCTCTTCACCATGCACCTGTTCCAGCAGACGCTGCTCCTCACTCTCACACAGACTCCTCACGAGACCCAGTCTCTGGATGACCAGTTCCCGAGCTGTGCTGGCCATGCTCTGACAAAGGATAAAGCAAGTGGTTGGATTCTGGTCAACCTCCAGGAAAGACTAGGAGGGTCTGGCCTCACTCAGGATTTTGAGTTTAATTAGTAGTGCCTGACATTGGCATACTTAAGGAAGAAACAGTGCGTAAGCCATCCCAGCCCTAAGATTTTCTAACTACAGTTTAATGTAAGGAAATTTGAGATCCAGACTTCTAAGTCAAAGCTCATGGAAACAGGACACAGAATGGACTTGCTAAGCAGAACTTGGCTTCATGAGCTATTTGGCTTACCTGCTTATTGCACAGCTGGAAACACCAAGGTCAGGGGTTGAGGAGAGACTCTCACAGTTGCAAGAATAGAAGGGCCTAAAAAATCATCCCTGTCAAGATTTCTCAAACTGATAAAAACAAAGCTTCCATATGACCCAACAACCCCACTCCTAGGTATCTACCCAAAAGACATAAAAACACTGATTCAAAAAGACACCTGCAACCTCATGTTTTTTGCTGCTTTATTTACAATAGGAAAGACATGGAATCAACCCAAATGCCCAAAAGTAGATGACTGGATTAAAAAGATGTGGTACATATACACCATGGAATATTACTCAGCAATCAAAAAAGATAATCTTATGCCTTTTGCAGCAACATGGATGGAGCTGGAAGAAATCATGCTGAGTGAAATAAGCCAGAAAGAAAAGGAAAAATACTGGTGGTATCACTCATAGCAGGGGCAAAAAGTACCAGGGGAGAAAATAATAATAAACAACTATGTACCAGAGACATTTTACAGGGGGTGAAGTGGGGAATGGGATAAAAAAAAATGGGGTACGGAGGGGAACTGCACTAGACAATGGTGATGGGAAGTCCTCGGGGATTACAACTGAGATGGAAAAAGGCACAAAATGATGTAAAAATAAACTATTACATTATTTTTAAAATTTTATTATAAAAAAGTCATTCCTGTGCTCGCTTCGGCAGCACATATACTAAAATTGGAACGATACAGAGAAGATTAGCATGGCCCCTGCGCAAGGATGACACGCAAATTCGTGAAGCGTTCCATATTTTTAACTAGTACAACCACTATGGAAAACTGTCTGGAGGTTCCTCAAGCTGCTAAACATGGAGCTTCCCTA